TAGCATAGATGAGATTTGGAGACAAAGATATTATAGATGATATACGAAAATATGAATTATTTTGCTTTTCCTAAGTAGTCCACGATACGTTTTGATTCCAATCTTTACTAAAAGCAAAGACATCTGATGAACACGCAGAAAGAACAATTAAACGAAAGTAGGTTTTAAATATCTTTCTTTGTCGTCATATTCCGTAAGAGAAAGGCCTTTGACTGGTTCCTTATTTATGACCATGCTTAAAAGAAATAAACAAACGGCAAAACATAAAAGTAATGAACACCTCAATAAAAATAACAAGCAAACAATTTTCCAGTTTTTAGTTTTTAGCTGACTCCATCATCAATTATTTTGCCTGGTACGTTTCGTGATTCTCTATTCCAACCTTTGCTTGAATCTTTTACATCGTTGCTGGGTTTTTAAACATTTTAGTTATCACTTTTATGACACGTATGTGCGTGCATATCTTAATTACCTTGTTTACAATAAAAAGTATAAGATAATGAGCCTTATACTAAAGAAGATCTCGCTTATCTAAGCTTCCTTCTAAATATCAACACAACTATAATAAGAACAAGTATAACGAGAACGAGGACTCCACCCAACGAACCTCCAACTATTGCACCGACTTGGGCAACAGGTTGTCTTGGTACTTTCTCCATGGCACTAACATGCCAAGGAGAAATTAATTAAAATCTCGTGATTTATTGTTGTTTATTGTAATGTGAAAGTAGTTATAGATAACGGGCAATTCCAATTACTGACCGTATATGCTATGATAAATAATTAAGGCGGCATTTTTTTATTTTGTCATTATGCTACGCCGTTTGACTTGCATATTTATAATTGTTTTACGAAGTCTTCGTTGAACAGACTTTTCATTCAGTATCAAACAGTATTTCACTGAACTTGTTTTCATATCAATTTTCCTTTTTTGTGGATACCTTGATATTTTCTGGTATTGCATATAAGTTCGCATTATCATGACAACTGCTTCATGCAGACACGGTTCTTTGAATCGTTTATATTTTGTTCAATGTCTTTTAAGTTTCTCATAAATATGGTTTTCATTTGAGTAATCATATTGAACACTATCTGGCTGGTCCAAATGCATCGGTTGTCCGTTGGTTTGTGGCATCTGCTCCTTTGCTTTTGGACCAATATTAACGTAGTCATTGTCTATGTGTACAGGTGCATCAAGAATGCTGTCATACACATGCGGCTGAGGAGGCTGCAGTTCAATCTCATTGTACACTGGGTTCTGTCCAGTTTCCCCTGTTCGGACTGGTTCCAAATATCCAGTATACGTGTCCGAAGGAGTTTCTCGTTTTGCCAAGTTTCTAAAATAAATGACCACCTTGCAGATTGGCATTAATGATCATGAATCAAAAGGAAACAGATAGGGGTTTTTACATAGGACAGGGTAATTTCCCATAAGTAAAGTAATCATGTATACACTAGCACATATTAAGAGAGTACTATTCAGACAGCGGTGTATTTTATAACTAATAATATTGATAGTGTACATCGATCATATAAACATGTTATAATTTGTTTAATAAGTCTATATTTAATGCTTAAAAACACACCTTTTATTTCTTTTTAGCAGCACAACAGTGATGCTGACCAATATCAGGAAAAACAGCAGGCCACCTACCGTTCCCCCTACGATTGCACCAACATTACTAACGGGTGAAGGAGGCGCTGGAAACGAGATTATAGCATAGAGCACCTATTTCTGATTGTTTGTAACATTTATGAGCGTCCTCGATTTGGGGAAGGGCTCTGAATATATCTATTGCATATGTTTAACGTAAAACCCCGTTTTCATTCAAATTAAAGTAATCTTACGTTTTGATAAAGTTGTTACTGTAACTGATGAGCCCTGCCCCTCACTAACAGTTACAGCTGCAACATTGATGTCATATGTAGAACTAAAACGAAGATTTTCTAGGGTCAGGTTAGTGGTAGTTGTTAATTCGATTTTTTCTTCATTCTTTGTTTTTTGTGCACGTGTATATCTTATGATATAGTGCCTTATAATACCATGTGGTATTTCAGGTTCTTTCCAAATCAAGGTAATACTGCATGCGGTTATTCCGTCTTTCGGCGCTTCAAGATTCCGCACAATTGTTGGAGCTACAAGTACATCACAGGTGTTCAACGTAACCCGGACATATTTTATTCCTATTGGAGATTGGTAAAATGTAATATCAGAAAGGTTTGTTAAACGATTTAACGTAACAACTGCCTCATTATCTATCTTTTATGTATAATTATGCTCTTGCTTTTGTTACATAAAATAAGTCAGTTTGACAAATCGACTGAAATCTTATAATAAACCCTTCTAATATAACATTTTACCAATCTCCAATATGAATGAAATCCCACTCACACCATTTGGGGTTGACATATACGACACATACGTATATAAAATAAATGATCTAAAGAATTTACCTTACCCCAAAAATATCCATGTATCACGATCTTAACGTTACGGAGTAGCAAATACGGGTTACGTTAAACGCCAGTGTACATTATTAATGTGTAGTTGCTACATGTAGTTCTACACGTATGTACATATATATTCAATCTATACGCAGTCCAAATTATTCAAGTTACATACCGTGGATGACTTAAAAATGATGAATAGTACGCTCAAGTGCCAAAATGAAAGGGCCAATAATTTTTACAGAAACCAGCAACAAGTCTGAAGTCTGAAATCTTCAAAGTCCAATACAATAACAGTTCTTTTAAATTGTAGAAATATGGATATCCAAATCATGATGTAAATGAAATATTTCAAACAATAACCATTCTCCAATCAAGGTTTTTCTTTGTTCATTTTGTTCTGTCTGTCTGCCTACCTGCCTGCCTGACTGCCTGCCTGCCTGTCTGCCTACCTCCTACCCTTTTACACCGGTTCGGTCGGACCCTTGGCCTGTGCTGTGACCCTTGACAATCCATGATTAGGTGACTTGAGGTCAAGATCAACTCTTTATGGCCCACCAATGATTCACTTATGTTAAGCAGTGATCTTTTAGTTTAGGAAAAGCCGGTGACCTGCTATCAGCTGCTGCAGAATGTAAACAAAGCCTGCATAGCTTACTACCACTAAAGCGCTAATGTGTAACTTGACCTTTTTAACATTGCTGGCATTTGGTTGCTATTAAAAGACAGCCACTTGCTTGTGAGATGTAACTAGGATTAGGGTTTCCCAATTTTGGGGGTAGTCTTAGTAAAATATGTCTGGGGGGCGTTTGCAGGAAGGGATCAAAACAATTCTTTCAATCCTGCATAGGCAAGACAATTCTCTAAATGAACAATTTTGAATCAAGTTGATCCCTTCCTGCAATTTTGAGAGATTTAATGTTCAAGTTGCCAGAATGTTCAGAGAGAATTCATTTATTAACTAACCAGCCTGTCATCAAGGTGCTTTAATCTGATAAACTTTCACTCAAATTAAGAGAAACCCTGGAAACATTAGAGGAAGGGGTAGTACTTTCACAAAGTGTTAATTTCAAGACCCAACTCAGTATTAATTACAAGCTGTAATACTATTTTTAAGATGATCACACATTTTAGATACCAAAGAGTTTCTGTGTAAGCATTAGGCCATATGGTGGGAAATCCTAGCAGTGACGTCACTCACTAGCTGATAAGACCAGCTTGAGTAGCATTAAGTGCACTAACTAAAAGTTCGTTTACAGGCCAGCATAACATAAGTGGATTAAGTAACCTGATGTCAAGGTCAATGTTTATGGGTCGAGGTCATCCCAAGTCAAAGGTCAGTATCTAGTTATTTGGCGTTTTGAGGTCCTTGGGGGATTCTTTGATCCTTTGTGACCAATGATAAGGTGACGGTAGGTCAAGCTTAAGGTTTATAGGTCAAGGTCACCTCAAGGCCAAATGTAAATATCTGAGTATTTGGCGTTTTGGGACCTTGGGAGCTGCTGTGACCCTTGGCGACCCAGGATTTGGTGATCTTGGCTTCAGGTCAATGTAATTGGTCAAGGTGTTTTGCTTATTTTAGGTGACCTAAAGTCAAGACCATTCCAAGGTCAAGGTCAACATCCATTTTATTTGGTGTTTTAAGACCCTTTTGGGCTGCTGTGACGACCCATGATTGGGTGACCTGAGGTCAAGTCTAATGTTCATAGGTCAAGGTCATCTCAAGGTCAAAGTTACTTAAGTATCTAAATACTTAGCGTTTGAAGGCACGTGAAGGAAAATGTGACCCTTGGCGACTAATAACTAGGTGAAAGTCAATGTTTAGGAGCAAAGGTCATCTCAAGGTCATATGTAGGTATTTGGCGTTTAAAAGCCTTTGAACAAGTTAACCTAAATTAAAAAAGCAGCCACGGTCAAAGGATCAATATACAGGAATTTACCATTTTATAGGGGCTGCTGCCATGATGGGACTGTTGTGACGGGTATCTTAGCTCTTATTTTGATTCATTATTTTGAACATGTTATTTGTTAATTCTTTGTTAATATTACCCTGCTAGATATAGTAGCTTGTATGTTTTGCATAAAGATACACATTTATTTCATCATTGTTATGATTCTAACAACACAAGAACTATATCTTCGAATATCTATCACTTACATATTTAATATACATATGAATGACTCACGTCCTTGTGGAGTCCTTATATCACGTTTATCTATTTCTCCAACCGCTACTGTAATTGCCGCTATGGAAAAACTATAATGAGTGTGACCATGTAATCCAGTTACTATATGTTCTCTTGATGTATCTGCCAATGTTTCCGTAGCGAACTTTGCTTCGCATATGACGTATCCTCTCAGAATACCATTGCGATTCGTTGGAGGATCCCATGTCAATCGAACAGTTGTAAAGTTGTGGGGTAAAACTTTGAAATTCGATACCTTTCCAGGGGCTGTTTAATAACAATAAGTCTCTTTGTTAAAACAAACGTACTGACAATTAGATTGAACAAATCTGCAGTAGTGTAACTATTTCTGATGCACACGTTGATGCCAAGGCATTCCAAGTAAGAAAATTGACGGACAGAAACCAAACACGTAGTTTGACATTCAGATATGAAGCATTGAATAAATGTAGTTACCTGCTTCATGTGTGCGCTGTTTAACATATTCACTCCACGGACCACTCCCTACGCTTGTGTATGCTCTTATCTTAATACTATAGTTTGTAAATGGTTTCAAGCCAGTTATGGTAATAGTGGTCTCATCACTATTTGAAAACATTGCATCTTTAGAAGATGCAGTATTATTTTGAGTTTTAATTGAATTAGAGTCCAAGTTGTGTATACTACTTTCATATATAGTTATCCGGCCATTTGGTCTACTTGGTTTTTTAAATGTAACTGTTAATGATCTGCCATGCGATCCTTGGATTAAACGTACGTTAGATGGAGCATCGCTTGGAGCTGAAAATATGTAATGATATAGACATACCTGACCATCGACAACGTATTGTGATAGAATATACGGGTGTACATTACAGCTGTTTGAAGCAAAAATTGTCGAAAGTCTTGCCCAGAGTATGCACATGAAATTAAACATTAAATACTTCATCATATTCCTAATTAAATCTTTTAAAACCCACATCACAATTTTTGCTTCAAACATGACAACGCACAGCTGAAGTGTACAACCGTATTCTTTGTCACTGTACACTCCCTTCCATAAGTTTGGCAACCTTAGCTCCCCCGTCAAAGCCTCTTTACCTTAGAATTTTTATTTACTTAAACTGCGATGAAAATACTATTGATGGAAACGTAATCTGATTTTATTTCTAATACCTAATTAACACCAAACTTTCTCAATTTTTTCCTCAATTACAATAAGTCGAAAATCGATGCTAAATTTGATAATTTTTTGTTTCCATCAATTTTATAAATTATTTCATCGCCGATGTAGAAAATATGATGAATGGCAAAATCTTACAAAATGTGCATTTTACAGTTATGCCACATCAGGCCACCTAAACGTCAAGCCACTCAATGCATGTTAATGAATTTCCACTAATTGAAGATAACAGCATCTTCAAGCTCCAGGAAACACAAAATATTGGGACTACTTTGCTATCATGCATGCGCATCGACATTTTCAGTGAAAGGGCTGGGTACATAAAAACAAAGAAAATTGCTTTTGACATTGGCTGCGGGGAGTTTATGACTCTGTTGAAAGAATGTACGTAATTATGTGTACATGTCTATGGGTCAATGTAAACCGCAACCAATACCCGGATGCACTATGTACAAATGGTTCGCGAGCACAGATCTCTATGCGCGAGTGGAGAAATATGGTTGGGAGCTAGGAAATGGTGGTGCGCGACTGAAGATGTGACGTTCACGATGTAAGAATCTTGGTTGAGTGCAAGGAAAGTAGTTTGCTAGATCAGAACTGATGTTCGCGTTGTTGGAAGTCTAGGAGACCTACACATGCTCTTTCTGTTGTGTATCAGAAAGTGAATGAAGTAAGCCGAGGGAAGACTGGCATGTGTTAGTGCTAATTTAGTTTGGCCATTCGAAAACATATGATCACAAGAGATCATTTAAGTTCTAGATCCAATACAAATCGTTTACTAGGTGTATCAACTAAGTGTATTAACAACAAATTAGTGTTCAAAGTAATACAAGCTTGTATGTCCCATATTTTATAAAATTACTTTTGATGAAACCCTTCCCTTAGTATTTCAGATATCATCACCAATATTGGGATACCTAGATCCGGCAGAATTAATCAATTCAAACTCACCTTCCTCCCCGGTGATTCCATTTGACTCATCACTCCAAGGTCCTCCACCTATTTCTGTAAACGCTCTCACAAAAGCTGCATATATGGTATAGACACTCAGGTTTCCAATCACTATGTTATTTTTAGCGGTGGTCACATTAACACTATCAGCTCTTGTTTTAGAAGCTTCCCAGTACATGACAGAGTAGTTAGTGATTATTCCATTAGGAAGAACTGTTTCTCCCCAAGAAATATTCAAAGAAGTCGAGGAGGTGGGTGATAGTATAAGATTTACTGGAGACCCACTTGGCTCTACAATGGTATACATCACAAACATAAAGATCTCGATAATGAAAGGAATGTTGCAAATACATGTTTCGGCAACAACTTAATTCGAACAATTAATATCGCGACGAGTTGAGATAATAATCTTTTTCCCTTTTTTAGCCGTTCTTTGGATTTTTATGCCAGGTAGTCTTCTATTTATAGATGAGTAGCCAGATCTCATAAAGTCTTCAAATAAAGAAGTTTAAACCTCCAAAAGGTTACCGGCTAATCTTGGTACCGTTGGAAAGCTAAACACCTGCACTAACATGTTTGAAGACTATAAAAATTCAGAACAGGTGGAAAAGTTCTTAAAAATGCTGGTTTCCATGGTAACTGCAATGTTGTCAGTATTAAGGACAAATTATATACTTTTGAACATATATATAGAACGCTTTGACCATACATCATGATAAAAGTACCACTGTAAAGGTAATTTAAAAACCTTTTGAAAAATCATATTTTTAGGATTTTCGGGCCTATTGTGATGTCATAGAACTAAAAACGCTCGATTTTTCGGTGATTTTGACAGAATTTAGACACGTGTCGTGTGCTAATGTAATCTACATTATCTAATAAAACTATTTTGAGTTTAAAAGTGACTTAACACAACACTTATATGTATATTATCGGGCAAACGATATCATTATGATTGTGATGTCATAATACAAAGAGATAGAGGCCTAATTCAAATATCTAATATCGAGATTATTGACAAATCGAGATACATTTGAGACATTTATATTATATTTTAGACATTTTCAATGATAACTTAAAAATCCTCAACATTAAATGTTATGTTTAATATATCTATAAAAAGGTTACTGTCTAATCATGGTACTGTTGGAAAGCTTAGCATCTGTGTTAACATGCCTAATGACTAAAATAAATCAAAACAGGTGAGAACATTTCTAAAAATGATGGTTTCCATGGTAACTGCAATGATGTCA